ATATGTTTTGTCCATGACCACGAAAACTGTAAAGTATTTGAAATCGTAAATAATATAAATATCATCATCATCATCATCATCAACAGCCCACAGTCGTCCACTGCTGGACATAGGCCTCTCCCAATCTACACCACTGAGCTCGGTCTGCGGCTCTCCTCATCCACTTCTTGCCGGCCACCGTGCGGAGGTCATCGCACCATCTAGCCATATATATATATATATCTAGCCATATATATATATATATATATATCCGGAATATAAATATAAATAAATATAATGACAATAAAAACGTGAAGTTACACCGCTAATTATGTCTACGACTCGCAAAAACCCAAGAAAATACAATATGGCTTAGCAGGTTTATTTACTGTTTACTCTAGTTATTTTGCGTACATTAAAAATCTCAAACACGCCCTTCCTATTAAGTTTACAAAATTGATAATAAAATGCTATACCTACTAAAAAACCTTGAGTAGTTTAGAAGTTATCAAGTATTACAATGAAAATCGTGTATTATTGGCAATGTGCGTAAGTGAATATTGTCATCCTCTTTGAGACGTGAGGTTCAAGTTCCTATTGTGTAGCTTAACGGCTGACAAAGCTTAGCTTTAGCTTAGCAAACCAAAACTTCTTTGCCTCGACAAAAATAGGCAGTGCCATAACCCTGCCTCTCATTGCGTAACTTTTTGCGTAAATTTATGTTTTTTTTTAAATGAACACCAGGCTATTTTCTCAATTCCGTAACTTTTTGCGTAAATTTATGTTTTTTTTATTTAAAAGAACACCTAACCATTTTCTCGATTCCGTAACTTTTTGCGTAAATTTACGTTTTTGGAACGAAGTTCCTTATGGGACGATGCGGAGGGGTACCCTAACCGGCAAAAGACGTCCGTAACGTAAGATTTTTATTAGTAATGCACACAGTGTACGACTTAACTTTGTAATAACATACAAAAAATAACATATTTTTTTATCATTCATTGATCTCAGAGCGTTCGTTTGCGCAATACACTAACTCTTATGCAAACAACCGTGAACGAAGTGTACCACAATAAGTTCGCACGTTACCGAATGACCGTGGGTTATAGCGAAACCTGCAGTTTTATTTTCTTTATGCCTCGAATAGAACTTAAAATTAATATTTTTATAATAAGGAACTTCGTTCCTATCCGGTGTCCCACGACACCACACATCTTTTTTTTTTAATAAACACGAGTTTTTTTTTCAAAACGTACTTAAATACGTAGAAACGTATATCTGAGTTCTCGTTTAAATATTTGGACCAACAAAACTGTGAACAAAACGTAGTAATATCTAAAAGGTCTCTCTGGTTTTTAACTTGTTGATCATCGCTCTCTACGCTGCTCAGTAAGTTGACCTCCTTTCGTAGTTCGTTTCACACTACTCACTCCGCTTCATGTCACAGGGCTAATTTGCAAATATCTGGGGACTGCGATATGTCTGACAGTCAAAATTGTTCGATATTTCTCACGCCGCATTCGGATTTATCCATCTACGTTGTTTTGTAATATTAATCGCGCGTTGCAAAACAGTGGCTATTGTTTACGGCAAAAAACAAGTTCAGTAGCGCCTGACGAATTTTAAAATGTTTCCGTTTGACCGATTGCTAATTTTGACAGTGCGTTTTCAAGCAGCTCTGGAAACGAAGACAGTTAACAGAGCCGTTAATGCCAAATATCACAGCACAACAAAAAAAAGGACTTTTTGGCGGGAACCCGAGGAATGAAGTTGTGTGATTTGTTATATTTTGTCTATTCAGTGTTTCCTGAGGTTCAAATGTGTTATAAGGGTGGTTTATAACTATTTAGTACCTGTGAAGCTTGTTTCTGCCCCTGGCATTGCTGACGTCCATGAGCGAGGATAACCACTTACCATCAGGTGGGCCGTACGCTCGTCTGCCTATACGGTAATATAAAAAAATCTATATTTCTTGACTTTCACACAGAAAGAACTAATCGTATTTTAATGTTATTATTTTTTTACTTCAGGTTTCGTCTTCACGATAAGAGGATCCCAGGTGTTAGTTTAGTTCAGCTCATTTTTATCTCACTTTAACGGACGCCGGAGATATTACTTCGAAACGAATTAACTTAAGATCTGCTTGTTTGTCTTTTTTTTTTTCTCAGTTTTATTTTAATTTTATTTTTATTGCCCCTGTAGGCAGAAGAGCATACGACCCACCTGATGCTGAATGGTTACCGACGCCCATGGACTTCAGCAATGCCAAGGACAGAGCCAAGCCGCTGCCGACCGCTTAATACTCTCCACAAGCCTCTTTTGAAGAAGGACATATCATAGCGCTCTAGAAACACCATGGAGGGGAGCTCATTCCATAGCCGGATGTGCCTACGATTCTTTTTGTTTATTAAAAAATTAAACAAACTGGTGAAAGAGCTCACCCTTCCCCATAGGGAGCCCCATAGCTAACGTGAATGCGCACCCACCTTGAGACATTAGGTCGATGTCTCAATGGTATTGCGTAAGTAGTGACGCATTATACATTACTGTTAATTTAATTGTTTTATTTTTTTTAGTCACGAACTCAGAAACAGCCAATAGAATAGGAAAATATATACTCGTATACGGCTCGTATACCAGCTCTGTCTGTAGCATCTTGGGACGTCAAACAATGGAAATACTTAACATGTTTAATTTCAAAATTAAAACTACTTTTGGCGGACTTTCGGCGCGCACTATGCAGGTGGGTTTCGTGGAGTCGGAGTGGTGGGGCTCGATGGGGTTTAAGGATTCCCGCGCGTTAAAAAAAGTAATCATAAAAAAAAATTAAAAGGGTAGAAATATGGCATTTTTTTATTTTCATTAACTCAATAACTTACTTTATTGACATTGTCATTTACGATGTTTCGTATTATGTACAGTTTTCGTGGTCACGGATAACTTTCTACAAATCAGGATGATTTAGAGATGATTTTATTAATCAAAATGGTGAGTTAGTTATGCACATTACATACTCATTCGCATTGGATCAATGTCACAAAAGAATAAAGCATTCATTTTTCCTAACACATCCACACACGGCCTGATGAAAATCTTCCTACTAAAATCGGAATGCTTACCTATTTAAACTGGCATAAAGTATCACTTTTTTACACGTTCTATGGATAAAGTAATAAATGTTTCGGTTAAAATCATTTTTCTTCATTTGAAATAGCCGTCGACGCTAAAGCAAGATGCTTATTCGCGTTTTCGCGTCTGTAATCTTTGCTAAGAGCTCGCTTACGGTATTTCAAAATGAAGACACGTTCACGACGAGAATCATTTCTAACCACTTATATTGTAAGACTAGTTAATTTGCCTAAAGGATCATGTCCTAACTGATATTACAATATTATCGCATGGGGGTTATGAAAGAAGAAACTGCCTTTCAAAGTCTCGACGCACAACGCCATTACACGCAGACGGAGGGACTTTTCGAATTTAAATTACAGGTAATAAAAAAAAATATTATTTTTAAGATTTTAAAAAAAATATGGCAGATTTATTATTAATTAACTTAGGGGCGGAGCAAATAAACTCTTAAGGTTCTATTGTTGTCATAGCCATAGCCACACCTCTTGACCCTCAGACGCCTCGTATAAGTTTCGCGCCGATGTTGGGCAAAGGACTCCGTCGATATCTCATTATCTGACCAAGACTAAGATATCCATTATTTTTCTTGTCAGTCCATGGCGCTCATAACGTATATGATCCACAGTATCCGCATGTTCATTGTTCATTCCATTTTATGTCACACAATACAATAATGGACACGAACACTTACTCGCAGTTCCATTTTTATTAGTAACTAGCTGTACCCGTCCGCTTCGCTGGGCATTTAAATTAACATTATTATTTCTCACCCCCGCAAAGATTCTCATCATTAACGCCCCCGCAACTGGTGTAGGGAGTCCAACACACATATAAATATAAGCCTATCCATTAATTACATGTATTTTCTACATGGATACCAAGTTTCAAGTCAATCGGATGCATGATTCAGTAGTTATAACGGAACATCCGTACAAACCACTGTAGATTTATATATTAGTACAGAATTAACATTTATTTTCAACAACAAAAAAAAACACATTTTTTTTAAATATGTTCAAAAGGAAACGAATTGGGCTAACGAGCGAGCCATTAGCAGTGAATGCGTGTCATCGTTAATGTCACACAGGAAAATTACCATTATTTTGTGTCCGTCTAGTGTGAAACATGCATTTTTTTTGTGAAACTAAGCACATGCGACGCTAAAATAGGGAACTCGCTTAGTCTACACGCGTAACACGTGTCAGACGCGCGTAATTGCGATATTGATCTCATACAGTACATCTAAAGTTCTAAATGAGATCGTTTCAGTTTTATCGTTTTAGTCGCACGACACTTATGTGCTTCGGTATGTATGGCCCGTTCATTCTTGTATTAGATCGATATAAACGTTTATTACGTTTTATATCACACGTTTCATGAAAGCTCAATTGAAAATATTTTATTAACTAAACTTAAGCTTAAAAATTAAAAACAAAAAAAAAGTCACCCACTCTGTTGTTAGAATAAAACAAAAAATAATACGAGTATTTTTTTATTACGAGTTTTTTTTTATTATTACACTTTGAATAAAAAGTTTTGTATTGTATTATTATTAATCTGCCTTGAAAGTTTGGTTATTTAGACGTATAGCCGACCTCATCTAATCTCCTCAACATTTAAACAAATTTGTTTTCGTTCCGCTCTAATTGACGGCTTTAAGTGTCGCAAGTGTGAAAATTCAATAATTAATATCGTTAATAATTCTCTTTTGCGATGCGTTCTTGCGGTCTGTATCGGCTGGTTGGTTTTGCGTGGAGCCCGGCATTCGTCTCCCGGCCACCGTGAACGACGCACGTTACTGACTCACGTGGGGCTACCTCTAAAACACTCTCGTATATTGGGACATTAATCATATTATGTGTTAAGTGATAAAAAAAAAAACGTTCAATATGAAAGGCAGACATCAATTTCGCCGTAGATTCAGTCTGCAGCCTTCCTTCATGAAGGAAGAACACGAAGAAGAGAAGAAACACCACAGGTGATTGTTTTTCATTTGATAAAATCGGTCGGAAAGCTAATATTATAAAGCGTAGCTCTTTATCTATTGTAGCAATCGGCTACGACGTGTGGATCGGTGTAGAGTTTCGTAGCTGTTGCGTCTTAAAACGTAGATAGGAGAAGTTTTATAGTAAAAAAGTTATGGTTGTTCTTTGCGTAAAAAATAAAGATTCCTTAATGTGTGATTGCTGTTTTCAATTTTTGAAGGAAAGGAAATCGGATATTGAGTAGTGAGTAGTTTCTTAACCGAAATAATCTAAAATTAGCCTAATAACTTAGTAGTACTTAGACTTTAATATATATAATAACTCTATTAACTCTAGTAACTTAAATTTTCAGAAAACAAGCCCACTTTATATTTTGATTTATTAATTTTCAAAACCTAAGTTAAATAAGTAGTTCGTTTTTGTTATAAACCGTCAAAAAGCTTATTAAAGCTTAATATGTATATATAACAGTTTCTTTTGAATTTTATATAAAGAAAGTCCTTTTCCAATTTTCTGCCGTTTAGGTCTTTTCATCTTCCGTCAGATGTATGATGCGAGATAAGCTAGTTACGGTCTCTAAATTCCGGGAATTCATATGAAGAATTTCAGAATTCTTTTAAAATGAAAATTCTTCAGGCTCTCCTGAATACAAGAACACAACGCTTACAAAAGGAATCATTTCAAATCTGTTTAATTATTAATATATTCGAAAATATCAATTTTGTCTATTTTATTAGCGTGTTTTACGTTTTTTTTTTACCGATGCTGCACTTCTGAAACAGCCACGATTAATGACGACAATTTTAGTTGGACGTTAATTTGAATACAGCGTACCGTAATTGGATCTTTTTGTATTTCCATGAAGCCAGCGTGCATTCATATTTGAAGGTGATTGATTATACTGATTATCCAATGCAATAAAAATTATACGTAACGTAATGCACGTTCTATTTTTGTAACAATATTGAAAAATGATTTTGATAGCCTCAACATTTCAGTGTTAAAATCAAACTCATACTAAGCTAACAGTGTATATTTAGGTTTATTAGTTCGATGTTACTGTGTATACCAGTAGGCAGATTCGGTTCATTTGAATATTTCGTCGATCGATTGTGAGCGAGCATGCGGGACCCCGCAGCATACAACTCTCTCTACGCATCATTAGTTCAGTATGAAACAAATTTACGAGAACATTCATTCTGAACGTAACTGGAACTATTTTTACGGGCTGAAATCGCGTTTTTTATTACTAGCTGACCCGGCAGACTTCGTAGTAGTGCCTCAATCGATTAATAAAAGGCCTAAACTTTTGTATTAAATAAACTTAAAACAAACAAAAGGAATCCGTCCGAAGGGGGACACATCAAAGGAAAAACAAAATTGTTATTTTTATTTAATTCTGAGCACTTCCATATTGATCTAAGCCTTTAAACCTTCTCTGGACTTCCACAAATAATTCAAGAGCAAAATTAGCCAAATCGGTCCAGCCGTTCTCGAGTTTCAGTGAGACTAACGAACAGCAATTCATTTTTATATATATAGAAGATAGATTACTTCAAACATTGTTAATACGTTACACTTTTTGTGGTCACGGATGACCATCGTCGTAACGTAACCTGTAAAACCGATTCGTCGATTAAACCGTAAAGTCTTAATTGTGTCTACAGCTCGCGAAAACCGAAGAGAATATATTTAATTGTGAAGTCGCGATTTATCGTAAAATTACTATCTAATACGAATTAATAATGAAAGTAATTTACAAAAAATATCTTCTGTTTTTCTCTGTAGTTTTCTATGTAGCTCTTGTTGCAAAATTCTCAAGCTTTTTTTAAATCTGTTTTATGATTAAAATACAATCAATAGCTAGCACAAAATAAGTTTACATTTAGCTTTTACTATATTTTTGTCTTTTTTGTAGCAATTTCTTCAAAGATCTGTATCTCTTAATCTTAATAAAAGTATCTTGTAATTTTATACTTTGAAATTAAATTTGACATCTATATCAATTTAAAGAATTATGTAAGATTGTGGTAAGATCACTAGATACTGTGGTCATTCAGCGGGTGATACTCGTAGTAGGCAAGTATCTGACGTAATACTATATGTAATGTATATTTTTACTGATGGTAGGATCTCTTGTGAGTCCGCACGGGTTGGTACCACCACCCCGCCTATTTCTGCCGTGAAGAAGTAATGCGTTTCGGTTTGAAGGGTGGGGCAGCCGTTGTAACTATACTCGAGACCTTAGAACTTATATTTCAAGGTGGGTGGTGCATTTACGTCGTAGATGTCTATGGGCTCCAGTTACCACTTAACACCAGGTGGGCTGTGAGCTCATCCACCCATCTAGGCAATAAAAAAATAAACTATGTAAAAAATAATTTAATTTCTTCGTTTTATTTTGAAAGCACAGAAACATACTTGACAAGTTTTGTGTTTCGGGAGGCTTATATTAAGCACTGAATTTATCCATTACATTTATTTGATGTTAAGCGTAATCCTGTCTACAACGCCGAGTGAATTGCCGGCTTATTGTCTGTTCACTATAAAGAGCTTTTAATGGGAGAAAATATGTAGAGATTAATGTAGAATGATTAGAAAAGAAATTGTAATAAAACTAATGTTAGAAAAAAAGATAGTATTTTTTTTTATTGCTTAGATGGGTGGATGAGCTCACAGCCCACCTGGTGTTAAGTGGTTACTGGAGCCCATAGACATCTACAACGTAAATGCGCCACCCACCTTGAGATATAAGTTCGAAAGTCTCAAGTATAGTTACATGTATGTACGTTTTGTATAAGTAATATAATAACATACAAAAAAAAACTGTATTCGGTATAAATATGGAAAACGGGTACTTAGGTTTTAGTTAACAAAAAAAACATTGTCATGGACATCATAATATACACTTACATATACCATTTGTTCTGGATAGCACCCTATATTTTTTTGTACTTCTGACAATGCCCATCCCAATGCCAAATGCTCACGGTCGAGCATATAAGACTTGAAACATAACAAACAAACAAACTCATCATCACAGCTGTGATATAAAAGTTGATTGATTGAACAATGATTGAAATGAATTTGGCACCTACCTTAACATAATATTGGAATATTTGATGGTGCGTCTAAAGTTGTATTAATTCTGAGGGCTTTTATTGAATCCATCGAAATTTACATTTTAATAAAAAAATAAAAAAAAATTGATCCTCCTCCAAGCAGGCGCCTGTGAATTTCTATTGAAAAATGTTCACAAAAATGTTGGTAGCGTCAGTCACAATGCTCTTCTGTAAGTATTGTATTATTATGAAATATATAATGTCGTGAGAATATCGCTATGATGTTCATTTTTCCATGAACGGTGGCTTTGATTAACAACAACAACAATAATAAATCTCATTTAAGTAGTTCTGAGCAGCGCGTTTAGAATTTCCAGCATAACCAACCTACGCATATGTACATATATTTATATGTATTTAGGTGTGGCTGCGGGATTTTCGGAAATGTACATTTTTGTCACAATTTTGGTGGTATAATTTTGGTTGGCTGGTTTGTTTCATTGAACATTTTTGTCGCTGCAACCGAGCTCTAGCAATATTATTATGACCACTACTTCAATGAAAATAAACAATCGATTTAGATATCACGGTAAGATAGGATGTTTGGGTCTATCGATTATATTCAATATGGCCTTTTCAGCAGGATTAGTAGCTTTATAGGTCTGTAGGCAACATTAAATATAACACATAAAACTTTCAGAATTCAACGTGATACACAATTTTTAGCACAACCAATTTACGAGAAAATAGCAGCCCGCTCCGGCTCCGCTCGGGTGTTTAACAAAAAATTCAGCGATATTTGACGTTGTTTTATTTTTTTAAATAAAAGAACACTTATTGCAGCATCTATATAATATAATATAACATATGCTGTCGCGACACTTTTTGTAAATAATAATGTGTTCTACAAAGTCGTAGTACATTATTTTATTCTATCGTCAATCGTTTTCGCAGGGCATGCGATGTAAAGAATATTTTAGGTATTTTTTTTACACCTTGGGTTACATACATTATTGGAGTTTTAGTAAGGATCCCTATTTTTTTTTTCAAAAAATATTATAGCTTATGTCACTCGGAAATAGTGTAGCTTCCAAATAGTGAAAGAATTTTTCAAATCGGTTCAGTAGTTTCGGAGCCTATTCAATACAAACAATCAAACAAATCTTTCCTGTTTATAATATTAGTATAGAAGTATAGATACCGTGATAATACGTACCTACATAAAAACAAGGATTTCTTTTCAAATTTATTTTTCTGAAAGGCTTCTGTTCACGGTTCAGATCGTGAGAATGTTTTCCTTTTTTTTTTTCAAATAATTAATTTTTGTAACAAAAGTAAGTACAAAATACCTTGAGTTCGGGAAACGTTTTATTTCGCTTGTAAATATTTCACCGAAGTTACGTTCCGTTATTAAACTTTTAGTCTTTGTGAATTTACTGATTGAATTTCGGTGAAATAAAATAACTGTTTGTTTTTATCTTATCTGTAGAACCTACGTGTTCACATAAAAAAGTATTTTATGTCAATTTCAAAAGATGACGCTTTTGTTTTTTTTTTCTTTTGTTTTTTAAAAACCAAGAACGTTTTTTATGATTTACAATTAAAATTTCAAGAATCGAAAAGAAAAAAAAAGTCGTCTTTTGAAATTGACATAAAATATTTTTTACTAGGACATTTTTGGTACAGAGACGAAATGCGTGACGGTTTCACAGAACAAATGATTAATGAAATATTTTTTCTTCAAATCTGGATCATGTACCAATTTCGATATATCTACTAGAGCCATCAGGAAAAATGGTACAATAAGTTGGTTTAACTCGTTTAATTTGGTATCAGAGCTCATACAAATACCTATAAAATAAATGCCACTACCAGCTTAAGATCTTCAAATAAAATAACCTTCCTTCTGACAGAAACTGTAGGTTTATGAT